GTTGTGAGGGAGAGAAGCACTCCAGATGTTTGAATGAGAAGCTTTCTGATGGTATAGTTCTCACTTACAGTGGCCCTTAATGTCTAGTGCATTCTTAGAAAGGTTCCTAAACTTCCCTTAGTTTCCCTTCTCTCCCTGTCTTCTGCTTTTTGTTTAACAGGTGTGGGGGGCAGGAGAGGACAGGGCACCTGAAAACCTGAGTTTAGGAAGCTTTGCTCTTGCTTTTGATTTAGCTGTCACCAGAAGTACAGTCACTAAAACGATGTTCCCTTCATCTTATCTGTTAATGATGCTCTCTCACCAGAAGTTGCACACCCTGGTTACACTGCTTTCTCACACATTGAAGGCAACACTAACATAAGGAGCGACCTCTATTTGAAAAATAGCTTTACAAAAGATTCCAAAACTGATGTTAATTCCAACTTGCACTTTTTTCTCCAGCTCTGCGTTCAGAAGTTGAGAATACTAATAGAAGATTCTGACCAGAACTGTAAGTATGTTGTTTGTTGCTTTAGAGGCTTTCATTAAGCATCCTGATGGGGCTAACTGGCAGAAGTATTAAAGCAACAAGGATTTCTAGTAAAATTATTCAATACTACACAATGCCCAGTACTTTGCAAAGAAAAGCTGGTATTGTCTAGGTAGTAATTTTATGTTTTTGTATAGCGTCACATTTAAACGTCTACTTACCACCAGCTGCCTCTTTTTAAAATGACCTAGCTGAATAATTGGTGCTATTTGTTATATGGTAAATCTAAAAGTAGAATGTTCTGGCTTTTGCCCTTTCACATTTTCCACTGAGGAGGCACATGCAAGTAATGTTATTATATAGAATAAAAAAACATAATAGTGAAGTACAAGAACACCTGACTTGCTCATGGTTGGAAATATGGTAATATGAGTTACCATTTACTAAAACTTAAATCCTTTTTCTTGAAGAACCTCTTCTATCCATCTGTAGAGAGAATTTTAATATGTTCAAAAAAAAAGAGTGGGGGCCCCTATTCAATATAGTAATTCTGTTTTGCAATGTTAGAACTTTTTGCATACCAGGAGCTCAAAGCATTTAACATTTTGATTAAGCTCCATAACATCACTGTGAAGTAGGCAAGTGATGTTCTTGTTGTCTGAGTTACTGTTCACAGGTGTTTGTGTAGTGTTCGGAGCATTTATTTGGTGTCACTTGGAAATGGCAGTCCTAATAGTCATGGGCAGTATGACAACAACGTTTTGTCAACAGTCAAGGAGCACTGACATCCCCTATCCTCTGTGCTAAGAAGTTGTTGATCTCGCACAGATGCGTGTGTCACACCTATTCTTCAGTACCTACCACACTAGTAAACCATCTCAAAAGGCAGTTCATAGATAACCATGAGCAGATGGTCAGGGATTTGGTCTTGCAGAACATCGTTTTCTGGCAGGGATAGCAATCGATAGATCTTCAACATTAGTCTAGAACAAAAAAGTCCAGTGCTTACTAGGTTCCTCAATGGCCTTATTAATGTGTGTTCTCCCCCCTTAGTCTAGTAGTCCGCTACTTTTCTAGGACACCTTAAGACTAAAAATATCATTTTAACCAGATTAATGCAACCTTTATTTGAAGTCCTTCCTAGCAACTGGCTGTCTCTGCCATCTATGAAGACAGCCTGTTTAGTAATCATAATACGAGCTTTAAGTGTAGGAGAGATTCAAGCCTACTCTCCTTGCTGGTCTACCTTACATGATGTTCTGTAGAGAGAGTGCAACTCCTTTAGGTCTCACCCTCCAACCCCCTTCCCCCTCCCATAGTCTTACCTGTATCCAGCTGCAGGGCTGTTCCCATCACCCCGCCTGGCTGCCTCATGCACTTGTGCACATACACATGGCACCCCCTGCCTCCAGTTGCCTTCCTCCCACTCCCTGTAGCTCTGGTTTCCTGCTTCAAAGGAGAAAATCTGGGTTTTTCTCCTTTAAAGGGGAAAATCCACAATTTTCCATGAGAAATGGAAAACGCGGATCTAATTTCCATTTAAATAGGATAATTCACCTGCCAGTTTTCTTTTCCACACTGCAACTCCAACCAAACTGTGCACACTCATTGTAGTTAGAACTCTTTTATCTTACTCTGAAAGAACAAGAGTAACATTGTTGAGTCACCTTGAATTAGCTAGATTAGATCCAATTATACAAATTAGTGATTATTTCACTAGGGTTCTGGTATTGTCTCCTGGGGAGGCTGAAGAAATTGTCAGGATCTTGCGTGGTAGCTACATGATTCGGTCCACGTTTTCACACAGCAGCATTCTAAGTTGATGTTTTAAGGTCTGTAGTTACTCTGGCATACTAGTTCTGCAGTCGTTACTTAAATAAAACTGTCAGCACAAACTGTGAGGTTTCTGCTTGCTGGTCTTTAAAATTTGAGTCCATGTAGACAACTGCTCTGAGAGAGTGCTTCATTTGTTAATCTTTGACTGTTCTGGAGCCTTATATCAACTGGATTTTAAATTGATGTAGGAAGTGAGAGGCAGGTTGGGTTTGCCGTGTTTCTGATCCACTCAGGTTGGAGAGCCCAAAGGCATCCCGGGCAGAATTGGGGTCCTAATTAGATGTTGCTAGCCAAAAGAATCTGAAATAGACCTTTTGTCTCTCATCAGAGAGCTTTTATTTCAGTTTATTAAAAATTTGAGGTTTGAATAGAAAGTCTGTCTACCTTAGAATCTTACTCAAGACCATGCAGTATTTCTATATTTGGAAAGAAGTTGTATTTTGTCTTTTTTCACAGTGAAGTACCTGGGATTACTAGCAATGTCCAAAATCCTGAAAACCCATCCTAAGTCGGTTCAGTCTCACAAGGATCTTATTCTCCAGTGTTTGGATGACAAGGATGAGTCTATCAGACTCCGAGCTTTAGATCTCCTCTATGGCATGGTACGTTTCATTGTATATCCTCTCTCATTCCCCCACCTCCAAGCCCTTTTATTTACAACCCCTAAAAAAAATCTTAGAGTGAGATCCTCACTCTGATGCCTTTTATGCTGTGTAAAAGGGCTAGTCTGATGCACACAAGCTTTTAAAAGCTTCATTTGTGTGGAGAAAAATTCCTGGTGGAGACACCATGAAAGATTGTCATAAGGCTGCTTTGTGAAGATGCCCTGACATAGTTTACCACACTTATGCAAGATGGAGAAATAGCATACAATGCTTTCAGAATTCCAGATAACCCTTCAGTCCTTAATGTAATATAACATGACTTGGACAGGCCCGGAAGTCTGTATATTAAACCAGAATGACGGAGCAGCCCAGGATTGGACAGGCACTAAGGTTGCTTAAAGCCCCTTTTACCTTCATTTTGGCTGTCTATGCTCTACTTCTGTGGCACAGCAGAAAATTGCACCTTGGGTGTTTGCCTGTGTGTGTTTTGTGTGCCTGCATTTGTGTGTGGCTGCTGTCCAAGGAAACTTTAATAATGCCATGTATGCTAAGCAGCTTTATGGACAGAATCTTGTTGATCTTTGAGGGGGCTCTAATTATAACTTGGTATATAAAAGGTCTTTCATTGAAAAGCCTCAACTCCCTAAAGTTCATCCATGTGGGATGGCTCATGGCAGATTTTATCATTCCTCAACATTGAAAAGCTTGAGGCGCTGAAATAAAGACTGTTGTATCAAAGTTGGGGGGGGTTTTTTCCTGGTAGTTTTGTAATTAGGCTGCTAACCCTACAATAACAAACCAAACCAAAAGTAATGAACTGAACAAAATTGTATAGGACTTTAAATATTTATTTTTTCTGAAAAATGCAGCAGGTATTAACCTTGATTACAGGATGTGAAAATCTGTTTTTTCACACATTATGCAAAAGATGGTTCATCAGACAATGATGTATAGCATCCTCCTGGAATGCTGCCTTAAAAGGAACCGTGCTATATTCTGATTTCTAGCAGCATTTCCATATTACCTAAACTTCCTTGGAGATCTTTCCATCTACATACTGACAAAACAGAGGATATAAGATTAGCTTGAGACAATGTGGTCACCATGCTTTACAGTACTCTCAGGAGGTCACTATGTTCCAAGGTACACTCTGAAAAGTGACTTATAAACTGACACCATGAACTTGGCAGACATTATATTTATGGTCCAGTTCTATTAATCGCAGCATACATTGTAACATGCCACGTTCAGCTGATCTATGGTGTGACAAAACAGCAAATCACACTTAATGTGGAACATCATTGTGGTTGGTTTGTATCATGACTTAAATTGAGCATAGCATGTGTCCCAGACCCAGGACTGCTCCATGCTCCCATCCCATCTCTTAGCTGAGCACTACAGGGGACCATGGGACAGTTTGGGTTCAGCACGCAGGTTGCTCCATCCCCCTGAAGCAGTGGTTTTCAACTTGTTCCACAGACCCCTGGGGGGCTGCAGACCGTCTAATGTGTCCGCAAAAGATGACTTTGATCAATGAAAAGTACGTGACTGCCCCCACTTAAAATTCAAAGTTTCCAAAGGAGTCAGCACCTCCATTCAAAATTGTTTAGGGGTCTGCAAATGGGAAAAAAAGGTTGAATACCACTTCCCTAAACAGTTCCTGGGATCAGGTTGGAAGCAGGTGCAAGTCCTGGTTTGGCTGGTTCAGCCCTGGCAGTTGCGCCGTTTTAATTTTGAGGCATTACATGCCCTGTTCCAAACATAGTTTGTTGTCCTGTCATACACAGGGCTTACAATTTTGGGGATAGAACATATCCTTGTATCTAAATCGTGCCATTATTTTAATACCTGCCAGGGTCCTGTGGAGTGTGTATGTTAATGACTCTCAAATCAGCTCAGAGTTTTCAAGTTGGCCACATGGCAGGCTCTAATCATGAGCTGAAAATTAAACTGTATTCTTGTAGGTTTCTGTATTATGACCAATAGTACTGGTTCTGAGCTTTAGCACAGTTTGCTCTTGCAGAACTGTAGTGATGCTGCATTAATAATAAGAGTGGAAAGTAATAACATGCTTTTTTTTTTTTTCCTTCAGTGCAACTCTGCGTGCATGCATAGAGCAGAGCTATGAGGCCAGAAAGGGGCTCTATAGAGTTTCTCCTTTGACTGTGCTGCATTTTGAGGGGAGATCAGAATGACTGGTTACTGGGGAAAGTACTGAAAATTAAGGCACATATTTGAAATAGTGCAGCTAGCTTCATACTTGGTTGCATAGTAGAAGCCAGATTTTATCACCATCATCCTTGCAATTAGGGAATGAAAATTCTGAATTTAGTTGTCAGGTCTCATTAAAATGCATGCTGGGCTGATAAGTTTGTGCTAAATCAAGAAAGCAGTCAGAAGTATTCATTTAGCCATTTGACTGGAACAAATGCACTCAAGACCAGGTTCAACTAGTTCAACAAGAAACTGTCCCAGGCTGCAGATGAATTGTACAGTAGTCCTGGTCTAGACTTATTTCTGCCTCCCTGTGTTCCAGTATCTGGCTTACCCGGAAGCAAACATAGGTGCATCTAATAGCAGGTGCTTCTATGAGATGGGACTAAATTGGCAGGAAACATGTTGTAAAGGCTTTTTGTCTAATCTTTCTAACTCTCTTGAACAGGTATCAAAGAAGAACTTGATGGAGATAGTGAAGAAATTGATGATTCATGTGGATAAAGCTGAAGGGACAACATATAGGGACGAGTTGCTCACCAAAATCATAGATATATGTAGCCAATCCAATTATCAGTACATCACAAACTTTGAATGGTCAGTGCTTTTACCTGTTCACTTTGAAAGAAGCAGTGGTGGTGCTCCTTGCTTTCCTCCTATTAAGAATGTTTCACTTCCACTTCCTGTAGGTACATAAGCATCCTGGTAGAATTGACTCGTTTGGAAGGTACTCGACACGGTCATCTCATAGCAGCTCAGATGCTGGATGTAGCTATCAGAGTTAAAGCTATTCGTAAGTTTGCGGTTTCCCAGATGGCCATGCTTCTAGACAATGCCCATCTAATAGCCAGCAACACCCAGAGGAATGGGATCTGTGAGGTGCTTTATGCTGCTGCCTGGATATGTGGGGAGTTTTCAGAGTAAGTGTAAATGGTTTAAGTAACCTCTGTCTTTCCCATCAGACTAATTCAGCTGTTTCAAGCCAAAATGGGAACTATGTTTGGGCTACTCTTGCATCTATATATATAATATATGCCATCTCAGGGAGTAAGCAATGGTGTGTCCCTAAGGCTTAGGAGTGAAAACATAGGACTGGAAGGGATCTCCTGGGTCACTGAGTCTACTCTGGTGTCACAGGTAACCCTATCAAATACATCTCTTCATTAACTGATCAGGCTCCATCTTAAAAGTAGTTAGTTTGCTCTTCTTGGAAGCTTGTTACAGAGCCTCACTCCTGTTGGGGTCAGAAAATGTTTGAGTTCCAGTTAAACTCACTCACAGCTGGTTCCTACCCAAGTGTTCTTTTGCCAATATTGTCCTTTTATCTTAGTTAGACCTTCTCTCTCCTTGGTGCTAAACCCCTAGATGTGTATACATATTATTTTGCTAGGCTAAATAAGACTGACTTTCCTTTCCCCTGCTCATCCTGGTGTAGGTCTCTTTGCTTTTTCTCCAGTTTCAACTTGTGTAGCAGAGGCAGCAAGTACTGTCCCTCCAATAACTTGATCTGCTTTGAAATGGAAACTGTCAGTTTGAATCTCAGGAATATGAGAGGCGAGAACATAGTTGCCTCTTCACTTGTTTTGCTTTCTGCATTTGACATCATTTTGTGTATGCAATTGGCTAGTTTCCCCATTGTGTAACTTTAAACCAGTAGTGGGAAAAATGAGAAGATTAAAACCACAAAGACTGGCAGAGTGCAAGTTGTATTTTATTACTGCTTGTGCTTCAGCAGTTTCACTTGCCTAGTTCCATTCCGTTTCAGAGCCATGCAGAAGTGTAACCGAACTTTTGTTCTTGGCAGTACAGAAGATGGAAGGAATCTCATTTGACTATTTAAATTCTAGATTAAGCCTTCAGTGCTTTATATTAAAAAATAAAAGCTTGTAACGAGGATATTTTAATAGGAAGGTCATGGAGACAATAAGCATGGAAACCCAAAGTGTTGCTTTGCCAGATGGAGCAGTATTAATGCCTACCACACTGTGGTATAGTAAAAGTTTGTACAGTCCAAGTATTTATTGTCCTTCTACAGATGTGTTATTGCTGTGCTATTTTCTGTATTGCTCATCTTCAAAATCTATGTTATAGTACATATCAAAACAAGAATGAATTAAACGCAGTCAGTCAAAACAATTGAGGGGAACTTACAGAACAGGGAGATCTTAATATCATAAAACAAGTTGATAAGAATAATTTCTTGTGCATCTCTTTACTTTTCTCAGGATCTAAGAACAAAGGACAAAATCCTGTCCTCATTGAAGTCTATGGTAATAATCCCAATGATTTTCAACAAGGATAGGATTTTTACCCAAAGTTTCTAGACTTCCTGGCTAGGAAGGTGGCCATGGAAATTGAAACAAGAACATTCTTTGGCTTTGGAGCAAAGTTAGACCAAGAGTGAGAGGTGGTGAGAGGTCCACACATAATACCTAAATAATTTGTGTTGCGATATGTGAAAACTCAGTAACATATCAAGCTTCCTAAATTGATTTCTCTTTCATTTTCTTCCATCAATCTTCTAGACACCTTCAGGAACCAAACCAGACCCTGGAAGCAATGCTGAGGCCTAAAGTTACCACTTTACCAGGTCACATCCAGGCAGTTTATGTGCAGAATATGGTAAAGCTTTATGCATCCATCCTACAGCAGAAAGAAGAAGCTGGTGAGAAGGAATCATCCCAGGAAATTACCCAGCTGATGATTGACCGTTTGCCTCAGTTTGTACAGAGTGCAGATCTAGAAGTCCAAGAAAGGGTAAGAGAAGAACATCTCTAAATCTGTTGTACTTCAAGCCTCTGATACTAATACTAATTATTTCTGCTGTCTGGTTGCATCTACAAGAGATGCTGATTGCTCAGTCATTCCTACGCAGTCATTTAGTACTTGCATAAACAAGTACTAAATGACTGTGGAGTAATTGGAGTTACTCCGCATTAGCTCTGCCAAACAGCCTCTTTTGTGACCCTGACTACACAGTAGCCCGAGATTAC